TAAAGTATAAAATGAAGCTACCTGATCATACGTAACTCTGAAAATATTTTAATCAGTGCTTGATTTCTTTTTACATTGTAATCATCAGTTAACTAATTAAATAGGTTCATGTAATGCTTATAAATTTGATGGTAGATGACTTCAAGGATTGATTCACTAATACATTGTCCCAGTATTTGGGGAATAGATTTATCAGGTATTGATTCTAGCCCTATGTAGGAATCGAAACTGTTTTTAGTGACTAGGCGGCACAATTATGTATCTGCAAGACATCTGTCCTAGACTCCTAGGAATTAAGCTTTTTTTCTTTCTTTTTTTTTTTTTTAACTTTTTTGAACTTTGGCCAATAATCTAACCTCCTTTGGCCACTGTGTAGGGTAAAAATAATAGAAATAATTTAATTTCCTTGAGCTCCTGGGCTTAACCAGATGACCTCTTCATAGTGCTTCTTCCACCTCTGAATTTTATTTTACTTTTATTTTTAAAATCCGTACATGGAAGAGGAGAAGCCTCAGTGGAATACTTGGTGCTGGCCTTAAATTAATCTACCAACTTCTTCCTTCCCTGGCTGCAGGGGGAAGGATCAGCTGGCATGTCCAGCTCTTAAGCTTCTCTGCCTATTTCTGTGGTTGGCCCAAAGCTCTTCCCCTAAATCTAGGCATAAAGCCTCCTAGTGGTTTACACTCCAGTTTTCTCAGTCCCAGAGCTAGTTAGTGATATCACTCCGTGTGCTCTCTAGTGTCTTTCTCCTCGGTTCTGGTATTTTTGTCCACAGTACTCAGGTTTTTGCTACCTCTTGCCCACTGGAATAGATTCTAAACCAGTCATTCCTAATGTTGATGTGTCCCATGTCATATAACTCTATCCAGTTAACTCCTGCACTCATAGCTACTCAGTGCCCCTGTGCAGTGTATCAGGTGCATTGCAGGCTCTTCATCTCAGCTTCCAGAATCCCACAAGATCTTGTTCCAAGCTATGTTGGAGCCTTGGATCCTTAGTCCCCTTAATTAACATTCTCTTCAAACCTAAATTGAAGTACCTGCCATTGCATCTATGCTGCATCAGTCTGTCTGCATCTGCTTTTTCCACTTGGAATGTCTCACATCCTTCCAGTTGATGTAAATTTACAAATTTACTTGTTGTAAATTTACAAATTGTCATTGCTTGCAATGAATTTGGCTTAATTAATAGTGATTAATAAATGGGTTTCCGATGTCTGCCTGAAGCAATATATCAGTTGATTTTTTACTGGTAACCTTTTTTTTCCTAAGGAGATACTGCTATTTAAAAAATTTTTTGAAAGTTAAGAATGATGGGAAAGATATTTTCCTTAAAAATCAGAAAAGTCACTTGTTACACTTTATTATTTTTTGGTATGGAATATTCAGGCAAGCAATGCATCTATACTGGGTACGGGCATGATTATGCATCTCTACCGACTAAGCTTGATTTTTTAATAGGGACAAATTTAGATACACCCTCATACTATTTCATCTGTCAAAATCCTATTCCTTTTTAACATCACTGTGTTTTCTTTTTTAAGAGCCTATGCTTTCTTTATCAAGAAACTGCCTGGCACCAAGCAGAAGGACTCACTCTTTGGGATTCCTGTAGCATCTATCCCATCCACAAATGTTTATTTTATTCTTGTTATACTCTAGGTACTATGCTGGGAACTGGGGTTATCAAGATGCACAGAACGATCCCTGACTACAGGTTTTTCACAATCCAGTGGGAGAGGAAAACTATTATGCAACATAACATAACACATGTTCTTAAAATAGACTCTTTTTTCCCTGTGTAAGATACGAGTACAATGCCATGGAAAAGAGTGAGGACTTAATGATCCCAAAGTCAAGGGCAGAAAACCTTTCATCCAAGCCTTGGGGGTTGAGGTGTGGGAGGGAGGAAGCCATGGCATGTTCAGGAGTGGGGAGCTGCCCAATCTGGCTGGAGCACAGGGCGCATGGGAGAAATGGAAGTGGTAGATGAGATTGGAAGTACAACGGGGCCAGGAAGGGAATAGGCTTAAAAATCAGGCCAAGGAGTTTGGACTTCGCCCTGTATTTAAAAGAAAGACATCTGAGCTATTTTAAACATCAAAGTAAAATTTTGAGACCCATGTTTTAAAGAAGAAAAAAAAAAACTTTGGTGGTATGATAAAGTGTAGATTGGTGGAAAAAAGTGAAAAGTAGAAATAAAAATTAGACAACTTGCTGTGTGGCCCCAAAGGTATCTTTTTTTCCTTTGGTACATTATTTTTTTATAATTAGTTATTTGTGTATGTAACATATCCTATTAATAATGATTCCTAAAGTTGGGCCTTGAGTGGGGTTTTGAAGGACTGAAAGGGTTTAATAGCAGCTACTTCTATCTGAAGCTCTCAAGAATTATGGAAAGTTTCATTTATAGTACAAAGTACTCCATACTTGCAGTCTTCTTTAATTTTTTCCAGATATTAGAGGAGACAAGGCATTTAAAGCATTAAAACACATTAACAATGAGTATATTTAAAATCATAATAGTTATAGTTCACAGGTACCATTTTGAGTTTATACCAGGCTATATGCACTATGCCAGGCATACACGTTACCTCCCTTAATATTTTCAGTAAGTGTTATTAAACCCATTTTACAGATATGCTGAGGCTCAGCCAAGTTAACCTGCCAGGATCACAGAATGAATATGTTTGGATCTTTCCATGATAGTCATCTTGGTCATTTTTCGTACCGTGAGCTTATTCCTTCATTAGAATAAGAAACTTCCTTTTGCAGTTACCTCTCCTTGGAATGCTCTTCCCCGGACATTTGCAGACCTGACCTCTTCAGCTCTTAGCTTAAATGTCACCTCCTCTAAGAAGGCTTTCTTGATCATTCTATCTAATGTTGCTCTTTTTTTTTTTTTTTTACTTTACTTTCTTCATAGTATATCATTATCTGAAACTATTTACTTGTTTTTTTTCTGTCTCCTAAGCTAGAGTATAAATTTCATGAGATCAAGTGCTTTGACTGTCCTATATACTTAATGATCACAGCATTTTGATTTATATAATCACAGCATTTTAGAACAGTTTCTAGAACTTAATACACATTCAACAAATATTTATTGAAAGGGTAGATAAATGAAAGAACAAATGTCTCCAAAGCTCATGCTTCTTGTTCTGTTCCATCCTCCCTAGATGTTTTCTTTCTGCTACTTAGTGCACTGGAGGGGCATTGGCTTACCATATAATCCATCAAACTGTATTTCTGGGACCCAGACTGGTTAACTTTTAAAAACCAAATATTTACTCACTAGGAAAAGAAACCCACAGATCATTTTCTCATTAGTTAAGTTACTTGATTATACTTAAGCTTACAGTTCATACGTAGTACCTAAGATGTATGATTTGTAGTGAACATTTCTAATAAATTATTTAGAATTTCACCTTTTCTTATTGCATTCCTCTTGGCTGAATTTTGTAGGAGAATATTGAGATTCACATAAAATGGACTATCTAATGTTGCTGGCTGTTTCTGTGTGTGTGTGTGTGTGTGTGTGTGCGTGTTTCAAGCAACAGACATGTTAAAGTGCCCAGTATAGCTAATAAATTAGTGAATTCTTATTATCTCCATGTACAAAATAACATTCCTGGGAGGGTAAATTCTTGCATTCTTTCCTCAAACTACATCTTTCTTTTGTTGTTTCAGATTGGCTTTTTCAGAAGTGTAATTTTTCTTTGTCTCGCTGGAACCTGAGATGACTGACTTTGTCACTAGCATATTGACCTCTTCTTTTCTCACTGCCCATGTATCTAGGAATAGCTTGCCAGTTAACTCATAAGTTAGAGAAGGTAGCCTGTGAAGGAATTTTAAGTACATTTCTCGGTGTTCTGTGAAGTTACATGATCTTAGCTGAGTTAATTAACTTTGCTAAAATTGTATAAAGGGCTTCATATGATTCTAAACTACAGAAGAAGCAAAACAATTTGAAAGCAACCTGCCCTTTACCTTGATCCCTACCTTCTCTGAAACGGTGGTGTAATGCCAGTGAACAGAATAATGGTTGACGAGCAAAATTCCTAGGCATTCTAAATATCACTGGTTGGTTTAATAAAATTAATTAGCCTGCCACAGAGAAAATTTACTAGCGTGCTGGTTAATTTCACAATGTAAAGTCAGAGAAGGGAGGTGGGGTTGAGGGAACAAACCTTATTGGTTTTGAATAATTATTTAAAGATGTGGAGCTGCCTATTTCAAACACTTTGATTGCCAAATCCATTAAAGCTTTAAAATCTCAATGTTTGTATCCTGGTATATAGGAAGGAATCTCTCTAGATGAAATTATAAGCATATTAGTTAACAGCTAAGTGACTTATTAAAGATACAGCACAAGAAGTAGAATCCTAATAAAACCATGGGAATGAGAATTTGCCTTAAAACTGACTCATGGGAGGTTTCCATAATCTTAATTTGCCATTGATGCAATTATTGCTTTTTCTTGTCTTTTTAATCCAAACAAGATGTTTTCAGTGGCCATGGAAAGGTGCCTGAAATCACATGCCTGAATTCATTTAATTTGCCAACATTGTCTTTTTTCTCTCTTTCTTCCTGGTAATGGGCAAGAGTCAGTTCTGGTGCATTAGATACTAAATCTCTTCAATTACCAGCCGGGAAGAAAGATTTAAAATTGTGCTTCAAACCTACAAACTGATTTAGTTTTAAAGCACATATACTTCTCCTGTGGAGCCCAAATTAAACTGCAGAAAGGATACAGAGCTCAAGGAATTAAACCAGGCAGGGCCAAGGCTCAGGCCAGCAATAGCAACCATTTTGTTTTTTTTCATTGAGGCCCTCCTGATGCAAAAGGAAACAGAGCAGAACGTGCTGAAAGAAACAACTTGTGTAAGAAAGTGCAATATTATATTGCTTGGAACCTAAATGTGGAATAAATGTCTTTGCGACGGGGAGTCTAATCAAACCTTTTATTCTTTCTTCTCTTTCTTTTTGGGTGCTCGACAGCCATTTTCAATGTGGATGACTCTGTGGTTGATCTGGAGACTCTGGCGGCTTTATATGAAAACGTGAGTATCGAAGATATACAGAGCCAGAGTTTCCAGATTCCCTTATCTTTACTAACCAAAACTTTGGTTATATGCAACTCCTTCCATTCATGTTCTTTGGCAGTAAGGATCTTGACATAGCATGGAAGAGATTAAGGCACAGAAATGCAAGCTCAGATAAGAGCAGACATGAGCAAAGCACGAGGTTCCTGTCCCCCACTGCGGTATCTGGCTAGGAGATCTCTCTGCACAGCTGTAAGGGAGGGTGATTGTAGGCAGAGACAACTTCTATGCCACAGAGCCCGGCCCTGTGACTTGCAATCAGAGTTAATGAAAATAAGCTGCTGGATTAATGTCGGGGTACACCAGTGTCTGTATCTGAGGGATGGGAATGCTAATACCAACTTGGATGATTACTTTTGGTCCAAAATGATCTGATGGTGTGGAATGTGGGAAGTAGTATGGGATGGTGGGTTTGCGTTTTGGATTTACAGTCAGACCGTCTTAGGTTTACCACTGACTGCTAAGTGACTTTGGGCCTGTTAAACTCCTTAAGCCTGTCTGGTCATCAGTATGAAAGGAACTATAATGGGCTCTACCTGATTTTTTAAGAGCATTAAAGGATAATTTAATATATGTAGCAGTAGTAATTCTGTAAATAAACAGCACTGTACACATATATGGTCATTGAATTTGGGTTATATCTGGAAATAAACAGCACAGTTGGCAGGCTCTCTTGAGGAGATGACACAGGAGAGTCAGAATTCCTATAACTGTTAACTGTTCTGGTTCTCTGACTCTGTTTGGATTTGGAAACACATTGAACCAGATTCTCTTTACTGAAGTAATGGAATTTCCTAGGAAGCTGCCTGAAACTCTATAGTATGAATGGTCACTGAGCTCAAAAAATGATTCATTTCAGTACTATGTCCCCCAGGACCTTAAGTCTCATAGAATATTTCCATAGTGCAATAATCTAGCCTAATGGATTGCCAGTTCTCTACACATTTTTACATCCTTTGCATACATCAGGAGCTGTTCAGTACAACTGGGTGGGAACTTCTCATGCTTCCATCAGTAAGGCTTTTATTAATAAACAAGAAGTCACACAAATACAAGGCCATCAGGAGCTGGCAGTGCATTTGTTGAGTACCTGGAGGGCAGCGTGGCACTGTGGGAGAAAGAGCGATTCTGAGTCACGCCCTTTACCAGGTACTTTGTGTAAGCTTTGGTGGAACCATCTGTAAAATGAGGATACAGTAATTGAGGTTGAAGGACATTGTGAAAGGCTAAGTGCCTTCTAGATGCTTTTGTTGTTACCATGGGCTCAGGATTGTATACGTGGTCAGTACTTGTTAGCTTACAGTAGAGGTAAACTGTGTACAACTGAAATAGTTGGATAAATTGATAAAATAAGCAGTACAGACTACATAAGACAGCGGGTAGGGGGTAGCTGTTGAGGGCCAGGAGGTAAATGCTAAGGACAAACTTGACCCATGCCTGCTTACAGGCAGAGAGGGGATTCAAAGGTAGCAATCCAATGTCCTGGCTTCTGCATCCAGCTAATATCACTCATTATGACCATTTGTATTAGCCAGTAGTTCTTAAACATTAGCATGCATCAGAATTACTTGGGGAGCTTGCTGGGCCCCATCTCTGGAGTTTCTTGAGTCTGGATAGGGCCGATAATTTGCATTTCTAGCTAGTGGCAGGTTGTACTGATGCAGCTGGTCCAGAGACCATACTTTGAGACACATTGCTTTAAACAGATTCTCATTGTTTATTTTTTTGTGTTTTTTTGTGTGTGTGTGTGTGTGTGTGTGTGTTTGTGTGTGTTTATTTTTAAACACAGAGAGCCCAAGAGGAAGAATTGGTTAAAATAAGAAAGTATTATGAGACATCCAAAGAAGAAGAATTGAAGCTGCTGGATAAGCCTGAGCAGTAAGGATGCTTAAACACTTTTCTATTGGGCCAAACAGTATCCATCATCCTGCCTCCCAGCTCTGAATAATCACCTCTAAATTGTGCAGTGGGCTGAGTCTCATCTCCATCATTCCCATGACCTATTGCATGCATCAGAATGACCTGACTGCCGGGAAAAGCAGCTGGAAGATTTGTGCTGCTGGGTAGAATATGTCTCAACCCCTTTCCCCACTCCTCGTGACTCCCCTTGTACTAGCAACTTGTTAATTCCTCCTAGACTAAACATTCTGGCCAAAAGGGTAACTGAGGAAGGAAGAAGTCATTGTTCTGTTTAAGGTTCTGCTGATGCAGTTGATAAGATGATGTCAGAGTCACGGCACTGAAACTGATTTTCCTAAATGTTGTATCCAGTAAGTGTAGCCTGCATGTGCCAGCCTTTCCCCAGATTTCTCCACTTTCTCCGCCCAGTTTAGATATGACTTTTTCATCCTCTTTTGGTGTGCATTGTTCTTCTCTCCTTTCACGCTCTAGAGTTGTTTGTTCTGTAGTTTAGGATGTTGTTCTACAGAACTCGAATGCATAACCGAGTGACTCATCCTTGGCTGGGCTCTAGGGGTCTGCAAGCCACAGATAAGCTTTGGGGCTCTGCAGGCCCTGGGCCTCACCCAGCTCCTCATGGCCCACAATGCTGTGAGAATGTGGAAAGGGTCCAGAGTAGACAGAGGACTCTTTTGCCTGCTGCTATCATGGGTACTTTATGTCCAATTCAGGACACCCTTCATCATCAGGACATTCCTGGAGATGAGGCAAGGGTAGGAAACAGAGAAAACTGAGTGGTCAAGCTTAGGGTAACAAGTTAGCCCTAGAGACATTTGAGGTTCTGTGGCTTACACTGAAACCTGCATGCCTTGCCCTTGGGTACTCTAGGATGTCCCACTGCCCTTGGATGCCGGGGCATTTGGGTCCAGAAAAACATCTCTAAATGGCTGGGCAGGGGATCTATAGGTTTACTCAGTTATTGACAAACCTCCATGATAATTTGGGGAACCTTTGTTCTCATAAAGAACATAGGTTAGGACCTCCCCATCCCACCCCAACTTAGTTCATGAAGCCTAGTAATATCGTGAATCAATACAAATGGGGTTCTACTGCCCTCTGTTCCATCAGCTTGAGCCATCCTCCTTACCAATTCTCACTCCTATCCACTCCCAAGTCATGTTTCCTGATACAATAAATTAAGGTGCTAAACCACTAAGGTGCTAAACACTGACACTTAACTGACTAAGAATGGAATATTTAGACACTGACAAGGCTATGGGGCAAATTTGAAGACTGTCTTAACTTGGGCTGCTATAACAAAATACCCTAAACTGGGTGACTTATAAACAATAGGGATTTATTTCTCACAGTTCTGGAGTCAGGATGTCTAAGAGCAGCATGCCGGGCAGTCGAGTTCTGGTGAATGCTCTCTCCCAGGTTGCAGAAGGACAACTTCTCTTTGTATCCACATGTGGCAGAAAGCAAAGAGAGGAAGCAAGCTCACTCTCATGTCTCTTCTCCTAAGAGCACTAATCCCACTCACGAAGGCCCCACCCTCATGACCGAATTACCTCTCAAAGGCTCTACCTCCTGATACCATCATGCTGGGGGATAAGATTTCAACATATGAATTTTTTTTTTTTTGAGGGGTGGATACAAACGGTTTCTTAACAGGAACAATAGAGCATATCAAGCATTGGGTAGTGCCAGCTATGCCACATCGAGCAATGACAGTCTATAAGCCTAGAGTTGGCAAACTTTTCCTGTAGAGGACCAGATGAAAGTATTTTTAGGCTTTGTGGGCCATATGGTCTGCTGGAATTACTCAAGTCTGCTGTCATAGTGCAAAAGCAACCACGGGCAATACAAATGGGCATGACTACACACCAATAAAATTTTATTTATGGATACTGAAATTTGAATTTTATATCATTTTTACTTGCCATCAAATGTTATCCTCCTATTGATTCTTTTTTCAACCATTTAAAAATATAAAAACCATCCTTAGTTGGTGGGCTATCCAAAAACAAGTGATGGGCTGAATTTGGCCTGTGGGCTATAATTTGCAACCTGTGCTCTAAGCCATAGGAATTGCTAATCCAGTGAAATGAACAGTGAGTTTCTGCTACTGAAACTGATCCCCTTGTCCTTTTGTCTTAATGCCTTTCTAGTATTATTTTGCAAGATTAATTGCCAGGACACAGAATAATGGTGGCAGGTAATTAACACATAATTCATTCCTGATTTCCCTACTGATGATCTGGATAGAAGAGCATTTTTAAAGTTCGTGAATAGTCATCGTAATGGCTTCCTGAACATGCCAGGCTATTACTGACAGCGAAGAGGCCTGTCGTGTTGTCCTGGTGGATCACCGTGTTTGGGCTCAGCTGCTAGAGAGCGAGATGTAGAGAGGTGGGGATTTCAGGCCCGAGTGAATTTCACCTTTACTTTCAACCTCCTGCACAATGCAGCATTTGTTTGATTTATACCAGAGTCTGATTTTCTGGCAACTTATTTGTCATTAGCTGCAAGCTAGTTGACTATAAGCACGGTTTACATACTGGAAAATATGAATCATTTATAGTTTTGGCATTACAATTTCCTAAGAACCTTGTGGTGCCCAGTCCTATAAATCATAGCATGGAGAGGCTGGCCTCATCACTCACCTCATCAGCTTTCTTGTAGCCCAGTGCCAGGTTTAGAAAACCGTTTCCCCTAAAGGTGTCATCTGCCTGGGACCAGGCTGTCTGAGAGCCACTCCCTTCAGAAATGGCCTCAACTCTTTACACTCTGTCTTGGGATAGTGGTGAGGTGAGGTGAGGCTCCATTGGGTTTGATTATGCCTGATTCAAGCCTAATGAGGACACCAAGCCTAGTGATGGCACCATGTATAGCCTACTGTGATGCCCTCCCAGGGTCCACAGCTGCCTTGGGGCTCTCACAAAGAAGACACACTGACTTCTGAAATAAGGCACTGTGAGTGTACTCCTCTATGGAAGAACATAGGTTACAACATGAAATAGTGCTGTGTACACAGCTTCTATGTGTATACACATCTGAGATAATACTATTCGTGGGTTTAGGGGATGATAAACCAGATGTTAGTCCCTTGAAAGCAGTGGGCTACATTGTATCATTCCACCTGTCAGCTGAGTCGATGCTGTGAATGAGTCACCCACACAATGTGAGGTATGAAATTTCTCTCCTCTATACAGGCTGAAGTTGCAGCCCTTCCTAGAAAAATAAGCCTGCTTTGGGGAATGAAGGGAAAGATTTATAGTGTGTGGCTTCTTTAGGGGTTATTAAGTCCTCTGTATTACTTGCCCTAGGGTATAAAGTTAGACTAATTCAAAGGAAATCAATCTATAAATATTTGTAAGTACCAAGGGCCAATGTCCAAGACCAGGAGTTCTTATTCTTGCCCTTATGGGTAGCGAATGAAACAACATTGGGGGATAAAGTATTTATCTCACAAAGAAGACACAGTCTTTTGTCTCACAGTCTTTGAGGTTACTTATGCTTCTGACACTTTCTCAGATAAATGGGAAAGGAGCTATGGTGCTCTTTCAGAAGGCTTTGTGTGGCTACTTTGGATAGAAAGTGACATAAAATCATATTTTTTCCCCCAATTTTCCTTCTTCATTATATTGTATCTTCACATTCCACCAGATGTCCAAGCCCCAAACCTACAAGTCGTCCTGGATGCTACTCACAATCCCTTGAGATTGGTTAGTTACTCCAGTTCTTGCTGCCTTAGTAGATTTCTCGTCTGTCTGCCCTCTCCTTTCACACTGCGAGCCCTCTTACCTTTCCTCTTAGAATGTTGCAGCTGCAGTCCTGTAGGTCTCCCAGCCTCAAATCTGCTATCCCCTCCAATCAGTTGGCCAAACCATTGCCATGGTGATTTTTTTGGGGGAAAAAAAAAAAGCTGAAAGGATCACTTCTCTGTTTAAAACGCTTCTTTCAGAAGAAGTTTAAACTCTTTTTTTTTTTTTGAACACTAAGCCCCAGTTTAGCATCTGACTCCCACTTACTTCCCCCACAAATATCATTTAACCCGTCTAGACTCTGCCGGGTAGCTTCTCACATGTGTCCTGCACAAGCACTGGAGAGCTCCAGGAAACCTTGGCTGACATTCCTCCAGGGCTCTGACTTCGATGCCCTGTGTGTGGCTTCCGTAGCTCCTATTACAGCCCCCATCACTGATAGCACTCTCACACTCCATTGTTGATTTATTTCTCAGGTTATCAAGAAGGAACTGTTATTTAAATTTTGTTTTCAGGTCTTTGCATGGTGCCTGACACACTCTAATTGCTTCATACGTGTCTAGAAGACATCGGTCTTGGTGACTGATGCTCTGGTATTAATTTTCAGTAACATATTTCCCACAGTTCTTCCAAAAGTAGTATCAAATTCTTGAACTTCCCTCCCCACTACCCAACTCTGGAAACATGTATCAGATCCTTCTCCCTGCACAGGACATTGGCTCTTTAAGATTCTCTGTCAGCCTTCCTAATGTAAGCCCTGATCCCAGACAGGCTTTAATCCCAGTGAGTCTTGCAGTGCTATTTTACTCTCTCCTGGGTAAAATAAGTTGATGAGCCTATGGGACTCTTTCCTCATATTGGTCCTAAACTTCCTGTTTTGAGACTAGTTATAAGTAATTTTTCACCTAGCATTTCCTCCTTTTCATCCACGTCTTTGTTGGTGAGTTCAAAGGTAGATCTGTATGTTTTCTCACAAAGTCTTCATAAATGCTTTAGTCAGTGTTCATTTAAACTAGGAAGTGTGCATTACTCTGGGGGTCTGGGTCCCACTTAGGGAATAATGTCTCATGGTCACATTTGGAAGAGGAGAAATGCAGGGTGCTCCCCAGCAGCATCTGAATAAAATAAAACTCTCCAAGACTCACCACAGGACCAAATGCCCCCAGCCCCACAAGCTTTTTACTGCTCATATTTCTGAATACTGGTGATACCTCTGAATCCAGTTGTAAATGAATCGATGGTTTAATACTAATTTTATGAAAAAACTATTTACATTAAAGTGTAATTTTTTCACCTTTTTTATTCTTAATTCAGAATTCTTTGTGTTTCCATTTTATATCTCATTACATGGTTTACATTATAACCATTTACAGAACTTTAAAACAAAGGCATGTTTTCTTTATAGGCATTCTTTGCTCCATTTCAGTGTCATTAAAAAAAAAAAAAAGGCTATGACCTGGTTGTAGGATAAATAAGAAAAACAGCTGATAATTAGAATCTTATTAAAGCCCAGATCTCCCTAAAATAAAGTAGCAGAGGCACAGAGTATAATCTAAGGCAATTTCTTTGGATATGGAGAAAAGGAGGTTCCAGATTTGCTTCTTTGTAAAAGCATTCTTGGGAGAGATTGCAAAATGTCAAAGTAATGATTTTACGAGTTGACCACGACTTTCAGAAATATCAGGTAATAATCATTTCAACCCCAAGATGAATTTAATAGCTGTTAGTGGATTCTCTCCTTTTCTGAATTCATGCATGTCTAACTCTTTCCACTCATTTTAGTTTATACCCCTTCCTCTGAGGATTGGCCTGAAGAATATGTAACTCTTCCAACTTAATTTTGCAAAGGGCACCAGTACCCAAGTGCTCAGACAGTGAGCTTCTGTGTGTAGGTTAGGTACTTACCTTTAGCTTTTGAGATCTGTCTCGCTGTAGTTTTTAAGAGGCTTTAGACTGTGTCCACTTAATGAGTGCCTGCTTTGTTCTAAGCACTGAGCTCTGAGCTCTGTCTATATAGGTACGTCGATGTGGAAAAGTAAACAAATATCTATAGAATAGGGAATAGGGACATTATTAACTATCATCTAATTCATTAAGCGAAAAAAAAATAGTAATCTCACTTCAGTAAGAGACTTTTACCACTTGTCTACAGACATTTGCCTCAAGTCTTCACTTTGCTCAGCCTATGTAAGTATATCCTTAGAAAACGCTGCACAATAAATGGAGTTTATTGTGTGTGGGTTTTTTTTTTTTTGTACATTAAAGATTAACACTTTTCATTTGGGTTTAGTCTCCTATTTGGGTAGCAGGAGATAGATAACTTGTTATGGTTTGATAGAATTTCATTAACTTTCTGTTCCTAAAGTAATTTATACACCATACAGTTATTTACCATTATAGAAACCATTAAAAAAGAAGCTTTGTCGTCCACGGTAGAACACATACCCTTGGAGTTGCTTAAGTCAGCTTATATGATAACCTTTTATAATTGTTAAATTGACATCGTCAAATAAAGAATGTGCTCATGGTGGGTATTTTTCAGCTGTTTTTTATTTTCCTTGTGATTGTATATGAAGCGAGAGGATTGTTTTTGAATTTTTACAGATTTTTACATGAGTTAGCCCAGATCCCTAATTTTGCTGAGCGTGCCCAGTGCATCATCTTCAGATCTGTCTTTTCTGAGGGTATCACCTCCTTGCATAGAAAGGTAGAGATCATCACACGAGCTTCTAAGGTATGTCGCTATCTAATTTAAAAAAATAACTTTGTCCTTATTCAGGGTAAAGGAGGAAATGGGGAGTGGGAGAAATCAACTAGAGTCCCTTTGCCAAAACCTTTTGGACTTAAGATTGTATTTTTCTAAATATCGCAGTGTAGATCATCCTGCCTAAATGTGAGGGAGTGTGTACATGCAGATGAGTGGCAGGAGTTGGGCAAGGGAAGGGAGAAGAGAGAGAAAAGAAGGAGGGAAAAAATAACATTTTCACAGATTTCTTTCAAATATTCCAAATATCTTCCAATGTCCATACTAGCCACTTAAAACCAACCTAAATAGTATAGTTTGTTTTCCACTTGACTGTCCGGGTTGCAAAAGAGATTTTGCTTTACACCCATGAATTTGATTGTCTGAAATGTGTCTAGATAGTGAAATAAAAAGATTCTAGAGATTTGATCTAGGAAATAAATGATTATGATAATGAGTAATGGCCAAATAAATTTTTGTTGGCTTCACCACACTGGTATCCATTATAAAATTAAATTCTAGCACTTGGCTTTTTCTCACAATGACCCATGTCCTTAAGAACGTGATAATCCTCTCCACAAATACTATAGTATTTAAGTGCTTATCTGAGGGCACGATTTTTCTCTTACCTATGTATAACACATACTTTCTAATAACATCCTAAAAATCAGGAGAAGTTGGCCTAGAGCTGCATTTGGCTTTCTTTCCCCTGATATAAAGGAAGATAAAGTCAACGAAGACTGCAGAGAAAAGAAAACAGTATCAATTTGAAAATTTGCACTTGGAGTAAAAAAGGAAAAAAAAAAAGAAAAGAAGAACAAATGAAATGGGGAGCTGAAGAAAACCTTGAGCAGATTGAAACTGTAAAAGTTAACAAACATGTCAGTAAACACTTACTAAACACAGCCTCTGGCCTCAAAATACATTATTTTAGTTCACCTCCAAGGATTATACCCAGGAATAAGGAAGAATAGACTTGCTATTATATCTACCCTATACTTAACTATACTATTTGCATAGATACATAGTCCAAAAATAGATCCTTAAATGATATTAAACCCCTTTCTACTTAGAAGTCATCAAATGTGAAGCATAACAATGACAGCTCTCTTTTTTTAATTTACGAATACTTTAAAATAAGTAAAACTTAAAATGGGCTCAAATAGAAATATAAATACTAATATTCAATCCTCAATATTAAAATGTACACAGTCTGTAATTCATTGAAAGGATAGAAAATAATGGCTCTTAATGTATCGTTTTAAGACACTTATGGTTGAATAAAGTGTATTTTCCATTTCACCAACTGTTAACCTTATTGGTAACATGCCACCAAACAGCCTATTGGGTACTTAAGAAATATTTCTTGTTAAATGAACACAGGTACATTTGGAATTCAGTTCCATAATCATTGGTGTTTGCCATCACAGGGCTTGCTGCACATGAAGAGTGTGAAGGATATTTTAGCTCTCATTCTGGCTTTTGGAAATTATATGAATGGAGGAAATAGGACTCGGGGACAAGCAGATGGATATAGCTTAGAAATTCTGCCCAAACTCAAGGACGTCAAAAGTCGGGTATTTATTTTTTTTATAATAAATGTGTATGATCTGCCATTTATTTCTCTTCTATACCTTTAGTTTAAAAAAAGAAAAAGTATTTCTGCTCGTTCCATTCACCTCTGTTCTTCCCTTAATGATTTATTTTTCTTTGCTTTCTTTTGACTTTTTAATAAAGATACACTTTTTAAATTTGATCTTATTTTGATGACAACATTCCCAGTATTTGTTTGCTCCAGAATACGCAGTTAGGTGTTGAACTGCAATGAGGGAATAAAGCAGAGAGCATACGGTATTAGCCATGGTCAAATCACTGATTGAGCTGAGCATTTGAATTATTCTTTTGCGCACACAATTGGGCTGGGCGTCTACTGTCAAACTTTCTGAGCCTGATTATCATTTGGCTCCACACCCCTGCAGAGCTTCCTCTTTAGAAACAAGCGGCCCATACCTAGGTGTCCCGTCGGGGGGTAGGGGGAGTGGAGAGAGGGGAAACACACAGGCAAATTAGAATTAGACCCATGTGAACAAGACTCAAAGGCTGCCTTGTGGGAGGGCCTGCTCGCTCCTGGCCTCCCAGGGTCATAAAGTGGCATGGCATTCCTTTTAAGCCGTCCTGATTGTTTTTCACGCCATTAAGAACACACATCTTTTGAAAGGAGGGAAGGGAGGGATGGTTTTTCTGTTCTAGTCCCTGGTTCCCTTTAGCCTTCTCCCGCCCCCCTCTTGTCTTGGCTTTATGCCAGAAAATGTTGAGACAGTGTTTTGTTTGTTTGTTTGTTTTAGCCATTACCTCAGAGGTCTTAGGGATTATCTGTTTGTTTTTTTTTCCTCCCAGAAAGAATAGTGTAGTGTCATTTCTTGGTATAGATGCCATAGAAAATGGATAGGACAAGAAGAGAGGAAAGTCTTGCCTGTCTCAAATATTCAGGTCACAGATTTCAGCTCTCAACCATATAATACGGCAGAGAGACGCATGTGAATGATTTTCATTTAAGCTTCTCTTTTAAACCTAGGATAATGGGATTAATCTGGTGGACTATGTCGTGAAATATTACCTGCGTTACTATGATCAGGTAAGAAATGGCATTGTGTGGAAAACTACACCAACACATTGTTGGCATGCAGAAATTGGATGATGGATGGATGGATGGATGGGTGGATTTCAAGTCCAACGGAATCTGAGAGCTATTCGGCCTCCTTGGTTTACAGACGGAAACACTGAAGCCAAGACAGTTTAGGTGACTCTTGTAAAGAGAAGTATTATTCAGTGGCACAAATCTACTGACTCTCAATTCACTGTATAACCCAGCTTCAGAGAGACCCCCACTTATCTCAGTGCCTTCTGACAAAATTGTGAGAGGTTCTATGAAATCTATATCCATTCAGTAATTGGTTATATTTGAAACTAGATTCTGGGATGCAGACCAAAATTTAGAAAATTAATATTAAGTAATACCCAATACTTTATCAGAAATGTTCATCTGTGAACAAGTTGAAGATGTGGAATTTGAAATCCCTTCTCTCTGCTTAAATTACATTTGCAATTAGAAATAAAAATTTCCATGAGAATCTACCTGACCACAATTTTCTGTTTTATTCCTTCTCCTTAAATTAAGAACAAGGAGTCCTGACTTTGAGAAGAAAGACGTACTGTTGTAAGTTCTTGAGAAATGTAGCAATCAATATGAATGGAAAAAAGTCTCAGGAAAATGTTGTCAGGACTCCTGCTTAACTGTCCATGTAAGCGAAGTTTTCCCTGGGTACCGAGGGAGGAAAAGTAAAGATTCCAGGGCCTTATTTTCAAAAGGCCTACAATTTTATGCACAAGACAAGATAAGCACTGCCTATGTCTATAGTCATCCTTCTTACCTTTCTGGTGGGTTTATTTAACTGTTCTCAGTATATCTACAGCCAGGTTTATCATTCCTCCTTCCCCACCCTGAACTTCTCCCCTGTTTCTCTTAAAAATATTGTAATTTTTGGTCATTTAGGCATGAAGCTTGTGCTCCTCTTTGGTTCCTCGCTGCCCTTCAACTGTTTCTCATATTCTTCCTTGTTTTTTCCCTCCAACTGACCCCAGCTCATTCAGACCTTAAGATAACTAACTCATCCAGGGGATTCCAATGGCTTCCCAGCTGTCCTCCGCACCTCTAGCCCATCCCGCATCGTGTGGCCTGATTACCTTTTATAGTTCTGATCATTTCACATCCCTTCTTTACTCAAAAGTGAAATGGAGCCCCATTTTCAAGTGAATTAAGACTATCCAATTTAATTCCAGTCTTTTACAACCATATTTTTATTACTTTCCCTCTACACATATTCTGTGATTCAATTCAAGACAATGTTTTCCAAACACCCTGTGCTTTCTTATTGATGTGTTTTTACATCTGATGTTCTCCTTCATTGGAACTATTCTTGTCACTAGCCTTTTAAAAACTTCTTTTTTTTCCTTATAAATACTCTCTTAAAATAATAAATTAAAAGGCCTTTTGGGAAAAAGCTCCCAGTAAATAAATAAATATGTATATACACACATGCAACATAATAGGTAATGAGCTCTTCAGAATCAAGAGGAAAAGGTCAACTTGTCCCATCTCATAAAAAAAAAAAAATGGCAAAAGAGACTGCAGATAATTACAGAAAACAAATAGAAGATATAAATTGTCAGCTAGACATATAGAATTAGCAGTACACATTGACGAAACCTTTCTCAGGCCTATAATGTGTGGTCGACTGAGTTATTCTCTGTTTAAGATCTCTAGGTCAGATGAGACCCATATCTAGTCTGCCCTGTACTCACCAAACTATATGTCCTATAAAGAGCCCTTGGAAAAAAAATGCTCATAAAGATTTTCATGTGCTTGTCAAGCTGTTTGCCCATGGAGCTATGCCAACTTACAGGGGACACCTTTTTCTAATTCATTCAGATGTGCTGTATGGGCTAGCAAGGCTTTGGCCTTTCCATATCAGAATCTTTCTAGGGATTTTTATCCTAAGGAAAAAACTAGGACATGTATCATTTTTTTTTATTTAAAGTAATTTGTAATAGCAGAATATTGCAAAAATTTTGGTAGTGTCCATAGGTAGAAACTAGAGTCAAATAAATTATGCTAGTCATAAAATGGAATAATACTCTGCCGTGGAAAATGTATAGGAGAACATTTAATGGCATTGGAAAATAATCTTGCTCTGCTTTCAGATTACAAACATGTTTAAAATAATATACAGTATAATCTCAAATATGTAAATATAAATGCACACAAGTTCATAAAAAGACCTGGAAAGATATATATTAAAATGTTTGATTATTTCTGGGTGGTAGGATTGTAAGAGAGTCTTTCTGTCAATTACTAAACATTATGAACATGTGTCACTTTTGTAAAAGGAAAAAAAGATATAAAAAAATATATATATATATAGTGCAATCTTATATGGCTCTTCTTCCATGAAGATTTTGCTCACTTCTTCATCTGTCACTCCTTTGAAGCCCAGGAACACTTTGTGTGAACACTGCCTTGTATATAGGTATCAATGAGCAATTATATACCATCCTGGCATTGTTCCCTGAGCTCCAGAACTCATTGTTATCTCCTTTTTAGTGTCTATCATGTTGGTGCCTGATAAATACTTGCTGAGTTGTGTATACTTAAAAATTAACAGGAATGTAGTAAGTTTCATCTATGAAGAAGTAGGTACGAAGAAGTGAAAGCTGTTTTCTGGTAGACCGTGGTAGCCTTGTTGAGCTTCACGCAATATGTATATACCCAATGGCAGCAGGTATGATGAAGAATCTTGAGAGGCGCCTTGTTGAGCTTCACGCAATATGTATATACCCAAAGTTTTGGCAGCAGGTATGATGAAGAATCTTGAGAGGTGACATTTCTAATCCAAGGTTGACACAATTTACCTTGTAATGTTTGCCTCAACCAAGTCAGACGCATTGTCTAGGAAGGCTGAAATTTGCCTATGATATAGGGCTCTCCTTGAAGAAAGCTGACCCAGTGGAATTGAGGAAAATCACAGAGGAAATCTTACCATGAGAACAGTTTCAAACTTGGAACGGCCCAGTTTGGGAAAAATAAGAAGTCAACATTTGTGTGGTGCTCTCCCAGTTTTCACTGTACAAAATGCATTTCACTCAACAAGAGTGTAGAATTATGTGATTTATTAAACTATCCCCTCCCCCTAGGAGCATAAGTGATGATTTTTGTGGTTAGTGGTGATGAACAATTACCTGAAGAAAGGTGATTCCTGCTCCAGGCTGCTCTCCACTCAAGCCAGGTTTGGGGTCCAAGTCTAGGTCTGTGAAGTTTAAAGAAACTCATCTAGAGCCATGTCTTTTGAACTCAAATTGAGCAACTTTCACAAGAGCTCCTACCAGGCTGAGTCAGTCAGCAGCATTTTCTCTTTTTCTAGATTAAAAAATGAAATGAAAACAAACAAACAAACAAAAAAACAAAGCCAGGACTGAGTCTCATAAAAAGTTTTGGAAAGAGATGTTATTCCTGAGTTCTTCCAGTGGAGATTACCATGGAGTTTTGTGGCAGGCGTCTTAGATGTTGTTCCATCTCGGCACTCAGACTAGGGTACCGCTTCCATTGTTTTTAAAGTAGTAAAATAAGTATAGGAAGATGAAAAAATAGTACACTGATCACGTAAAATGTTATTCTGATCAAATGAGGAAAGCCACCTTTTCTCAGCATCCCAAGACTCAGTGAAGTTAAAGGTCTTAAAGACAGGTGAGGGTCTCAGGGATCCCTGCAACCACAAGAAAAGTGATTTGATGATGATAAGTTAGATGTCTCCTTCTAAAGGTACAAGCTTCCCAGAACAGTGTTTTATAGCCTCTCTGTAATGTTGCAAAGTTTATTGATATGCCAGAGGTTATATTCTATACTGAGAACAAGACACGGTTTCTGCCTTCAAAGTGTTTATAGTCTAGTGAGGAAGACATACAACCTAACTAGGCAATTTGTAAATTAACGTTGATAAGTGCTATGATAACAGTAAGTATGAGGGGTTCTTGGAAACACCCAAGAGTTGGTTGCTGAGACTTAGGGGAAGTCTTTGAGGAAATGATACCTGTTTTGAGACTTGAAGGATAAGTAGGAACAAGGAGGTGTAAGGACTTTCTGGGGAAGGCTTGGAAAGGGACAGGTTTATATATATATTAAAAAATAATAATAACCTAGAGGCAAGACACTGTGGCCTATCCTAATATTTTATGAAAATTTGGGGGAAGGAGTTAGAGATGGGGGAAGGTAGAAATAAGGCTGGAGATGTAGACAGAGGCCAGATCATAAAGTGCCATGTAAAGCAGTTTTAGAGTTTGGAAGTGGTCCTAATGGCAGTAGGAAGGATGGAACGTGAAGGGAAGCTGACACAGTAGCTTATATGGAGAGACCTGAAGACTATCTGAGATAAGCAAGATACAAAGCTTATGTTATAACAGCTCAAGGAGAAAAGCAAGCTAGACTGGAAAAGAAATAGGAGACTCATCTTATCTTTCAATGCGCCTGAAGGTTTTGTCCTTCAAGATGTTTCTAAGTTCAGATACTCTATTAGATATAGTTGTGGAGCTTGTCAAAACTATTCCCAATCGTGCCCTCAGTAAATATCTGCTAACAGCAGGCAAACAACATTTGAAAAATTTTTACAGTTATGTGAAGAATTTGGCCGCCCGCACACACACACGCACACACGCGCGCGCGCACACACACACACACACACAAACACACACACAGAAAGGCTTCAAGCCGCAGAAGAAAGTAGGGA